AATAATAATAATAATAATAATAATAATAATATGCTTTATTTCTAGCCCGCCTATTTCCAAAGGGAATCAGAAGTGGGTTACAAGCATAAATTAAAAGAATAATAAATTTACCCTCCAACTAAAGCATGAATTTATTATTTTATTTTATTTTATCTCACCTTTCTCCCAAAACAGGGACTCTTAAAATCTTCCCACTGTGGCTGATTATATTAATAAAAAGTAACCAGACTGAAAATAAATTATTATTATTATTATTATTATTATTATTATTATTATTATTATTATTATTATTATCCCGCCCCTCTGCAGAGCAAAAAGAAACTTAGTTCTGGCTCAGGAGCTGAAATTTCCAGCTTTCTCACCTTCATCCACAAAATATATTAAACTCCACTGTCTTCATCCTGGTAAAGGGGATTATTTTATTTCCCTCCCACCTCCTTCCCAGTCCATTTGGGGCTATTAGGACCCATTGCCAGACATCTCCTTAACAAAAGGAAAGCTTGGCTAGACCTGAATGGCTCCCAGGTGTTAACCATTGTGGGTCTTCCTGGCCCCATTCACACTTTCCTGCCAACTTCCACATTCCTGTCTCCATCAGAGATCTTAGTTAAAAGCAATATTCAAGGATATAGCCCTGTTAGTCTCTAGAATCAGTGTGCAGAGAAATCTTGTAGCACCTTTGAGACTCACTGAAAGAAAGAAGTTGGCAGCAGGAGCAATAATAATAATAATAATAATAATAATAATAATAATAATAATAATAATAATAATAATAATAATAATAATAAATATGTTGTTGTTGTTGTTGTTGTTGTTGTTGTTGTTGTTGTGTGCCTCCAAGTCCCTTCTGACCCAGGGAGACCTATCATAGGGTATAATTGGCAAGATTTGCCTAGTAGAAAGTGGCTGCCTTTGCCATCCTCTGAGGCTGAGAGAGTGTGACTTGCCCAAGGTCAATGGCTGAGCAAGGATCCGAACCCTGGTCACACTAGCTCTCCAAATAATCAGCTGCTGTGTGCCTTCCAAAGCATGGTCACCTTATCGCAGGTTTTCTTGGCAAGTTTCTTCAAAGGGGGCCGGGTTGCCATTGTCATCCTCTGGGGCTGAGAGAGTGTGACTTCTCCAAGATCAATGGCTGAGCAAGGATCCGAACCCAGCTCACACTAGCTTTCCAAATGATCAGCTGTTGTGTGCCTTCCAAGGCATGGCCACCCTATCGTAGGGTTTTATTGGCAAGTTTCTTCAAAGGGGGGGGGTGCTTTGCCATTGCCATCCTCTGAGGCTGAGAGAGTGTGACTTGGCCAAAGTGGGACTCCGTAGCCTAGCTGGGATTCGAACCCTGGTTTCCAAAGTCATAGTCCAACGCTCAAACCACTGCACCAGAACAAGGCTTAAAGGCCAAATATTTGATACTGACAGTGCCATAGGTCACACTCTCTCAGCCTCAGAGGATGGCAACAGCAAACCCCCTCTGAGGAAACTTACCAAGGAAACCCAATGATAGGCTTGCATTAGTTAGCCACCCTGATTGATCTCAAAGGGGCGGGATATAAATAAACTTTATTATTATTATTATTATTATTATTTGAAAAGGACCAACCTGAAGGTGTACAACAAAGCCAAGAGTATCTAACCTGGAATCTGTAAATTCAGAGCAAAAAATAATCTTCCTGAAATAAATAAATGAATAAATATTATTATTATTATTAT